TACTGTACTCTTTATTGTATTATTTTACTCTCTAAAGACATTTTTTCCATGATTTATCTTCTCTCATAACAAATATTGCATATTTTAGGAAAGATTCTAAATAATAAAAGCATGAGTTAGCTCAGAATCAACAGAAGATGCTAAATATATTATGATCCTGGAAAAAAGTTATGAAGTTGTTTTTGTCTTCAGTCACATAATAGAATATTATATACCCTGTTGAACTTTCAGACAGGGATTTACTTGCTAAATTTCCTTATAGTAATTTTTCCTTGTTGAAGTGAACACATTTTCAATGTCTTAAATAGGGGTTTATCTGTGTATGTTTACAGACATATGCACATGCTTAACATAGCATAAATATGATCTGGGATTTATTTTCAGTTATTGCCTGTTTCTAGAATTGACAGGCTCATATGATGTGTTGTATGTCATCAGGTAGGGAATGAGAAAACATTGAGATGCTTCAGCATTTCTTTGTGAGTTTGTATATATTATAGGTCTAGCCTTGCAGACTGCTCTAGCAAACACTATCTTTTCTGGTGAGATGCGATAATCACAGTATGTATGTCATGTAGCTGTGTAATAGTGACACTGAGTTCTTTGAGTGAGTTTTGTAAATGTCTTGTTACTCTGTAGTAACAACAGCTACATGGAGCCCCCCTCCAAGTTTGTTGCCTTCCTGGTTAGCCACAAGATTTTAACAAGAGATTGATTTGCCAAGGAGTTGATTTAGAAAGCACTTCTAAAGGTCATGTTTGATATGTGGTGGGTTTAAGAATGATAATAAATCCTAGACATTGGTTGTTTTGTTTTTGTTTTAATGACTGCTACCTTTAAAGATTAATTATCATAAAAGAGGTATCAGAGAAAAAAGGAAGAACTTGGAGTCTGGGCACTTGGATTGTAGTTGTGGCTCTGCTTCTGACTGCCTCTGTGATCTTGGCCAAGGCATTTAATCTCTTTGGGCCACAATTTCCTCACCTGCTGGATGACAGCATAGAAATAGATAAAAATTGTGATTCTGTGGTCAGTAGTAGCTCATATAAATGGTGGACATAGAAAATCCTAAAGAATTTACAGAGAAATTATTAGAAATACATGGTAGCTGGAGATAAGACATTGCATATTTGTCAGCAAAAACAGAAATTGAAATCTAAAAACTGTCAATTTTAATAGCATCAAAAGTATCAAGTATCTAAGAATAAATACCAAAAAATGTACAAAAGATCTACATAGAAAACTATGAAACATTGTTGAGAGAAATAAAAGACCTAAGTAAATTTTCCACTACTGTGTTTCATGGATTGAAAACAATAAAGATGACATGTAGAAAATCAAAGTGCTAAGAATAGCCAAGATGCTCTTAGAAAAGAATGAACTGGGAAGAGGACTTTATTGGAGATCAAAACTCACTGTAAAGCTAAGATAGTTTTAAGTGTGGTATTTGTGGAAGGATAGATGGACAGATCAGTAGAACAGAGTAGAGTGGACACTTGATTGATGACACAGTAGACAACGGGCAGTCTTGTCAATAACTGGTGCTGGTACTATTGCGGGAAGATGAAATGTGGTCAGTACCTCACGACTGTCTACTGTTGATTTTGTTAGGGTTGATGTTGGCATTGTGGGTTACGTTTTTAAAACATGATAGTTTTAAGTGTGGTATTTGTGGAAGGATAGATGGACAGATCAGTAGAACAGAGTAGAGTGGACACTTGATTGATGACACAGTAGAGAACGGGCAGTCTTGTCAATAACTGGTGCTGGTACTATTGCGGGAAGATGAAATGTGGTCACTACCTCACAACTGTCTACTGTTGATTTTGTTAGGGTTGATGTTGGCATTGTGGGTTACGTTTTTAAAACATGGCCTTTCCTGTTGAAGATATATAATGAGACATTTACAGATGAAACAATATTTCTACAATTTCCTTTAAAATAAGCAAAAACAAAAATTTAAATACAAAGTAGAATGGAAGAGAGTAGCTACAAAACAAGACTGGCAACTCACGGCGAGGGGCAGTGGGCACACACAGTCAGCTGGGTGGCTTGTCCATGTTCCAGGGTCCTGAGGGCCTGGTTGGGTCTCTCCTCGCAGCGGTGGGAGTCATGGCAGGGCAGGCGTTTGGAAAGCTTCTTCCGCTCTTTGAGTATTGGTTTAAGGGAATGCAGCCAAAACTGTAACCGAGGAGGTATTGTGCTTCCAGAAAAATGTCAAGGAAAAGTATCACAAGCAACCATGGTAGCTGTTGGATCAGGCTCAAAGGTAGAAATATAACCAATTAGAATAGAAATTGAGATAAAATTTCTCCCAGAATATGGAGGCAACAGAGTAGTTCTAGACAAGAACTATTTCTTATTTAGAGATGGTGACATTCTTGAAAAGTAAGTAGACTAAAATAAACCAGTATTGAAATAGCATCACGTGAAGCTGCTCCATTCCACTGAAGTTCTGAAATCTTTCATGTAAACAATTTCCATGTCTCTCTTGTAATAATCTAATGATACAAAAAGAAGATTGGCAAAGTGTTAATTATTGAACCTGTCTGTAGGGGTTTATTATACTCTTCTCATTACTTTTGTATATGTTTGAAAGTTTTCATCGTATAAAGCTTCTTAAAAATCAATCTAAACATGAAAAGCACCACAATAAAACTTCTAGAAGGTCACATAAGAGAATATCTTCATACCCTTAGAGTAAAGAAGGATTTCTGAAATAAGACACCAAAAGACTAACCGTATAGGAAGAGATGGATAAATTACAGTACATTAAAATTAAGAACTTGGTTTGATCAGAAGAACCAAGAAAAGTGAAAAACAGCTAATGAGTAGAAGATATTTGCAACATATATAACTAACAAAGGGCTTGATTTTAGAATATGTGAAAACCCATACAATTCAATAAGAAAGATAGCCCAATAAAGGAATAGTCAAGAGATTTGTTGATATACTTCACAAAAGAATCATCAACAAATGTATAGAAGTGTATTTAATCTCAGCAGTCAAGGAAATGCAAATTAAAACCATAAGATATCAATACACACTCCCAAGATAGCTGAAATTAGAAAGTCTGACCGTACCAAGTGTCTCCTTGGTGAGGTGAGATGCTGAGACTCTCACACTTTGCTAGTGGGTGTGAAAATTGGCAAGACCAATTTGGAAAACAATTATGTACTAAAGTTGAACACACTGTATTAGTCCGTGTCTTTTGCTTATAACAGTAATACCTGGAACTGGGTAATTTGTAAAGAAGCAATATGTGTTGCTTATAGTTTCAGAGGTGTGGAAATCCAAAGTCCCGGAAACACATCTGGTGAGGGCCTTCTTTGGTGGTGACTCCAGTGATGCAAGGATCTCACATTGTGAGAAAGGTAGAAGAAAGAGAGAGAGAGAGCTTCTCACACACTCTCCTTTTAAAGCCATCAGAACCACGCCCAGGACCACCGTTAAACCATCAATGTATTAACCCATTCACTAGGGAAAGGTCCTCACAATCTAATCACCTCTTCAAGGCCCCTCCTTTTAGTTACCATAATAGGATTTCCCACCTCTTAACACTGTCACAGTGGGGATTAAGTTTCCAATACATTAAACTTTGGGGGGACATGATTCAATCCATAGCACACACTCATATGACCCAGCATTTCCACTACTAGGTATATACCAAACAGAAATGCATGCACATACACACCAGGAGACATGTGCATAACAGCTTTATTCACAACTTGTTGGGGGTGGCTACCAGTAGTACAGTGGATAAATAGATTGGGGAATATTCATACAATAGAATATTATATAGCAATGGAATGAATGAACTATGGCTATACACAACAGTGTGAATGTGGCTTCTAGCCATAGGTGAGCAAAAGACCCAGACTTAAAAGAATACATACTATAGGGTTCTTTGCTGATTCAGAAACTAGTAAAACAGTAGTTTAGGCATGCTTAGGTGGTAAAACTCTAAGAAAGTGTCTTAGTCTGTTTGTGCTGCTATAACAAAATACCTGAGACTGGGTAATTTATAAAGAACAGAAATCTGTTTTTCACGGTTATGGAGGCTGAAAGTCCAAGATCAAGGCATCAGTATTTAGTGTCTGGTGAAGGTTGCATTTGCCGGAGGGGAAAGATACTGTGGGGCAGAAGGTGCAAGGGCAGAAAGGGGTGAACTCCCTCCATCAAGCCCTTTCATAGAGGCACTAATCTTATTCAAGAGGGGAGGAGCCCTCATGACCTAATCCTCTCTTAATGGTCCCACCTCTTAATACCATCGCATTGGCCATCAATATTCAGCACATGAATTTTGGAGGGGACACGTAAACCAGTGCAGAAAGTAAGAACATGAAAACTGTAAAAGAGAGGATAATGGTTATTTGTTAGGGAGGGAAGGTGTGGTAACAATTAGGAAGGGGAATGAGGTGCTTCTGGAACGCTAGCTCTTTTCTCTTTCTTGGCCCGGGGGGAAGTTACACAGGTATTCAGTTGGTGAGAGAATTTATTGCGCCGTATATTGTTGTTTTGAGCACAGAATTTTTAGAAAATAGCTTATAATATTTGTTCCTATTTTGTATTTTAGAAAAGCAATAACCTTTTTTTAGAAAACAGCCAACCTAAATATGCAAGGCACTTTGTCAGGATTCCTAGCGTGTGTTAATATTCATTGTGTTTATGGGTGGCCACTGGAAAAGGACCGTGGCTGAATCAGCTCACTCTCAGAAGACCTGGTCACAGGAGACCGTTCTGTGAAGGGACGCTGTTCATGCACTGCGATTACAGTTGAGATATCTAGGCATTTGGCCCTCAGTGCAGAGGGAGATGGACTGGGAGCTGCCTCCTGAACATTAATTAGACAGATGAAGCTGATCAGTGAGCTAATTCTGGTAGGACCAGTTTGACTCTGCTCTCCACTTTACCATGATAACGTTCTCATCTACAGGAATGGAAAACTGGGAAGAGGAAGGCTGAGAAAGATGAGCTGGTGGGAGTTATGATATTTTCCACCATGGAGCCAGAGGCACCTGACCTGGACTTACTAGAAATGTAAGAGACACTGCCAAACACCATTCTTCTCAGTCTGCACCCGCCTCCTTTGGTTTACGGGTCTTGGCCAGTGTAGTCACAACTAGGATTCAAACTGTCAGACTAGAGTGTGTGAAATGAGCGGGGTTTGTAATCAGATGACAAGGGAAACATCATTTGTACATGGAAGTTCTGTCTTTCTAGCTATAACATGAGATTAAAATCTGCCTCCTTTTACCTTGAAGTCAGTGACTTCATAGTTGACACAGGGGTTTGTAATCAGATGACAAGGGAAACATCATTTGTACATGGAAGTTCTGTCTTTCTAGCCATAACATGAGATTAAAATCTGCCTCCTTTTACCTTGAAGTCAGTGACTTCATAGTTGACACAGTGTGTGGTAGTTATTTGTAATAAAGTCTGGTGAAACATAGTGGCACAGAGCCACCTAACACCCACGTACCCTTCAACAAAGCCACGATTGCTTTGAACGTTACCTTGAAGGAAGCAATCTCTAATCTGCTTTTTCTGTATGTTTTATAATCTGTTGTTTTATAACTTAATCAGTTTTGGGTTGTTTTTTTTTTTTAACGTAGGTGCAGTTGAAATTTTGAAGTAGTTTCTTTTCTTTATAAGGATTAATAAGAAGTCTTGGGGTTTTTTTCAATTTTAAAAAGCTTTTTTCTTATCATGAAATCATTTCTTATGTGTTACAAAAAATAAAGACAAGAAAAGCATATACACACAATCTTCCAACTACTGAGAGAGAAAATTAGTGTTGGTATGTTGGTCTATAGTCTTCCAGCCCCTCCTCTGTACATATGTAAATACAGGAAAATTCATTTGTTTAAACAAAAATGACCTCACACTATACATTCTGTTTTATAATCTGCGTTTTTTTCATTTAACAGTATATTGTGATGATCTTTTCAGGTTGGTAAATAAACTTTTTACATCCTTAAAGATCTGATATCTTCAGTGTCATTTAGGTGGTTGTGTATCCAGGTTATTGTCTGTTTCCTTAAAGTACTTGTTGGAATGAATGAACAGCTGCCATTAGCAACCCAGATTATTCTTTTATAGATTTGATGGTATATCCAGTGATTAGAATTTCACTAAATAAGACATTCGAGAAATGATTGTTTTATTTACCTTAGAATAGCTTTAGTTAAAATTCACAAGAAACTGATGAGGTGGGGAAGGAAGCAAAGTTAAAATATAAATGGCAGATTTTTAAGTAGTTCTTTAGATATCTGAGTCAAGCCTGTTTTTAAGACTAATTTAATTAAAGGACAGTTGTTATAATGCAGGAAAACAAAGTACCTGTAGTTATGTTTGGTCTGAGTCCCCTGACAACACTGGTTTTTCTCCTCCTTGCATGACCAATGGCTGTCTTTACCCACAGAGAACAGAAGTGCGATGCTGTTGGGAAATTCACCAAGGCCATGGATGATGGCGTGAAAGAGCTGCTGACTGTGGGGCAGGAGCACTGGAAGCGGTGCACAGGACGTAAGTGCCACTCCTCGAGGCTGCAGTGGGCTCTGAGGTGGCCATGCAGGTTCACTTGTATGACCCTTGTCATAGTGGGGAACCTTCCATCTCAAGCAAAAGTGAGTTTGGTGAATTGCAGTAACGTCACTCCTACAACTCTTTGCTTAACCTCACTTCTCCACCCTTGTTAGATAATAGAAATGGGCACTAACAAAGCCAGTTCAGGAAATCTCATAAAAATTACTATGTTAGCTTATTATAAGTTCCAGTCATTTTAGGTTTTATAATTTATGGAAAATTAATCTTTTTTGAATATTTAGAGACTGCTTATAGTTATTTTAAATCTTATGATTTTACTTTTTAATCTTCATTCATTTGGTAAGATGATGCATATTTAAATAAAGCCATAATTTTTAGGAAACACCAGTACAGTTGGTAGTAAAAAATATATCAGACAGGCCAGACCAGGAGCACCATTGAGAAAGAATGGGCTGTCAGTCGGGGCTTTCTGCCCACCCTCCACAACCTTAAGGATTCTGGCTTCCCTCCCTTTCTGTCCCTTGTAGACTGTCATTCTGGTGAACATTTTTTCCTTTGTTCCTCAGAACTATGCAGCTCTGTTGTCAAACAGCCCAAGGTCAAAAAGTCCAGCCAAGTGTCCAGCTATGGGGATAGTGCCAAAGGATGCTGCCTGTTACTCCTGAGGCTCACTCAGAATGCTGCAGGTGACTTGCCAGTCCCTGGAGTGCTGGGCTCATCACTGCAGCAGCATTCACACAGACGTCTTTGACCACTTTAGACTATCAGGAGTTTTCCCCTTTTACATCTGCCTTGCCCTCATTGCTAGGACAAAGAGAGAACTGGGCCCCAGCTAGGGGACTGCCTGTGTTGATCTCTGGAGAAAGGGTACTATCAGTCTGTCACTAAGATTTTTCTGGCCTTCGACTCATAACACCCTATAAGAATATAGGTTGTATTCAGTTATTTTTTAGAAATAAAAATGGCTTTTACTCTGACTTATAAAACTAATATATACCCACTTTTATGTCAATCCTTTGGTACTTAGCATAGGAAAGAGCTTAATTATCGTTTTTGTAAAGTTTTTTTTAAGGTGGTATTTTTCCATTAAATGAGGGAAAAAAATCAATTTGAAATCAAAAAATAATTTTAATGAACCGGAAACTAAATGTGGAGTGACTTGTGGATGAATTAATAAGATAGCATAACAAAAGCAGTAGCAATATTAAGATCTATTAAATCCAGACTTGAAAATCTAAGCCTTATATCAGGATTTGTCAAGCTGTGGTCTACAGACCAAATCTGGCTTCGACCTATTTTTGTAAATAAAGTTTTATTGAAAAACAGCCATACCCATTTATTTATGTATTGTCTATGGCAACTTTCATGTTACAATGGCAGAAGTTTCAGCAGAAACCTGTGGCCCCACAAAGCAGAACATATTTGCTATCTGGCACGTTGCAGAGGAAGTGTGCCTGGCCCTGCCTATCCTCTGTCGTTGGCCATGGTACCTCTAACAGTCGCCCTCCATCTCTGCCAATATCAGTAGCCCTCTACCCCCATCTCTGCCTCTACCAATAAATAGCCCTTAGCCATTCACGTATTGTTTTATATCAACAAAACGACGTGTAGTGTACCAGCTGTTCATGCTTGAGGGGCAGACACCAGGAGTGATAACAGTTGTTCCTTTCCCGTGGCAAAGAAATCAGATGCTGCATCCTCGGTACAGACCTAGGCCTGAGAAAATAACATATAAAAGCGCCATTTAGAAAACAAAACCTGGGTTGAGCCTTCGGTCACAGAGAATGACTCATGAGCAAAAGGGGGAGTGATGCTGCTCTCTAAAGTGTAAGTGAAGGAATTGAATTTTAAAAGTGATGAATTAATTTTAGCTGTAAACACAAGGTCATAACAAAGTTATATGTTCTTTGGAAGCTGCTTTTTTTTAAGTGAGTGCCCACCTTATAATCAAATTTTTTAAGGATATCACAAAAATCTGGGATTATAATTTCTTTTAAAGAATTAAATCCCTGTGTCTACTGTCTGGTCAACTCCATGTCCTATATAATCTTTAAGGCCAGATTTATAAAATAGCAAATACTGGCTTAAGACTCCTCTTTTTGGCTGGGAGTGGGTGGGGACCGATCCCTTGTTTAGGATTTGGTTCAGGCATATCTTCTTTCTTCTCTTCTCTCACAAAATAGTTTTTAAAGATTCCTAATCTCATAGGGTGAAAACTCAAGCACACACTCGGTGCAGTGAAGCACACTGCAGGTAGAGAGGCGAACGCTGAGCTACGAAGGGCGCACTCTGTTCTCAACTTAACTGAGCTGATACGGTTTGGATTTGTGTCTCCTGGTAACTGCAGCCTATGGACCTCACTTCAGATTTCTCTGGCCTAGATTTTTTTTTTTTGATGTTAAAATTTTTCGTTTTCTTCATTAATACAGCAGTAAGTGTCCAAATACAAATGATGGTTTCTTTTGAAAGGCAAGAGATAAGTTACATTGAGGGGGACCGTGTGTGGATGCAAAGAAAGGAGCCTAAGACACAGAGACTTTTCTCCAGAATGATCCTAGAATCCTAGAATTTGAGGACCTTCAGAAGGAACTTAGGATCCTGTAGTGAATCATCACATTATACAGATGAAGAGACTCAGACCCTTCCTCCCTGGGCCTGTGGAGTGGGCTGTCGTGTTTTCTCCATGCCTTGGTGCATTCAGTTTTTGTTTTTTCCTTTACCAACTCACAAATAATCATTTATTCATACATAAGAGTGGGAAAGACAATGTATTTGGAATTACACTTGCCAAATCCACCAGTTGTTAGCCGTGTCAGTTATTTGAGCCTTATTTTCCTAACCCTCAGCGTGGAGACGGTGTCTCTGCATCTGGCAGAGGGGTTATTGTGATGTTCCAGTGGGACAGTGTGTGTAAAAGCACTTTGTCAACTAGAAATCATTTAAACGAGCTCCGTTTCACTTATGTTTCATTCAAAGAATGAGAATATGGGAGGAGTAGAGTGCATGATTGGACCTTCATGGAATATATGACAGCCCCTCTCTGGCGCAGTTTCCTGATAGATGAGGAACTGAGGCGTAAAGAGGTCAGATAGATTCGAGCAGCCAAGCAGCGCAGCGCCATGTTGGATGCTCTGCTCATTGAGTGAAGAAAATCTGCTGGCATCGCCTGACCCCCACACCCGAGAAGGGTGCTGCTTCCCCCAGGGAGGGGGACAAAGACCCCCTGCCCCCGGCCCATGAGGATATTGCTGTGAAAAGCTCAGCAGCTGCAGCAGAAACCGGACCAGCACCGGAGTGGCAGCGGCAGCAGCAGCAGCGGTACCGCCTCCTCACCCAGCAGTGGCGGCAGCAGCGGCCCCTCCTCACCTGAACATCAGGGCCCTCCAGACCCAGGCGCCCCAAAATATCAAGCCAAGCTGGAGCCAACGGGCAGCGGCCGCACTCAGACCAGAGACTCCGTGCACTGCCCCCGATTCTCCTCTGAGTCTGCCTGCTCTGTTCATTAGACTGCCCAGTGGAACAGAAGAAATTCTGCTCATTTCATCTGGACTGTGAAACCCCCTGCCACAATGAACAAACATCAAAGAAAAGATACCAGAAATACAAAAAATCAAGAAAGTCACCACCAAAAGATAATAAATCTCAGGCTCTGGATCCTATAGAACAAGAAGCCCTTGAAATGACTGATAAGGAATTTCGAGTGGTAATTCTAAGGAAACTGAATGAGATACAAGAAAACTCAGCTAGACATCATGATGAAATGAGGAAAAGTATACAGGACCTGAAAGAGGAAATGTACAAGGAAATCAATGCCCTGAAAAAAAATGTAGCAGAACTTGCTGAACTGAAGAAGTTATTCAGAGAAATAAAAAACACAGCGGAGAGTTTAACCAGCAGGATTGTGGAAGTTGAAGAGAGAACCTCTGAACTTGAACATGGGCTGTTAGAAATAACACAAGCAGACAAAAAAAAAAAAAAAAGAAAAAAGAATCAAAGGCATTGAAGAAAGTCTGAGACAGATATCAGACAACCTTAAGCGCTCAAATATCCGAGTCATAGGTATTCCAGAAG